CGTTACGAGTGATGACGATTGGAGCAAAGGAAACGACATAAAACAATTTTATAAATATGTGAAGGTTAAGAAATGTGACAGCTTGACTCTTGGGGTTGGCAACAAAGACTCAAATGACGAGAAAGGTATGAACCCAAATGGACAGGGAAGCCCACCACTACGAGGCAAATTGGGCTTGGCCTAACACCGCAATAAAAGCGTCGGTCGGCTTTCGACAGTGGAGTGCAGGGCGACAGTCCTCTCCACGAGTCGGCGGGAAGGCAACGGGAAACCCGAAGGGCCGGGCGAGGGACACCGACGGACCGAGGAAAGGGAAAAGCGTGACTCCTAGACTCGCGAGCCACACGAACGATAGAGAACCTTCGCATTTGGGGGGAAAACGTAACGAGAAGCAACTGTAAGCAGCATTTTGAGGAAGTCGTCGTGGACTGACACTGACTGACACCAGAACTCTCTCGCGGGTTCAGTTGATCCCATTCGCCGAATGGGTCGCACTTCTATTTCGCGGCGTAAGTGTTTAAAATGTCTAACAAATTATTCACTTGGGGGGAACGGCTCGTACATATGTGTTATCGAAGGTATATAGAGATAACATTTCTATCTTTGCGGAGAAGGCATGGAATCTCCATATCACCCCAATTTCGGCACATTACATGAGATTTTTAATTTTTGAAGGAAGGAATAGGCATCACTCCCAGTTTCTCAGTCGACGTCGAGTGACTCACGGGGCTTTATTGGTCGCCGAAATCGCGTCGGGGGACGCACCCTCGTCCTCTCGTGACGTAAGAATGGAATACATCCGAATTATGAAGATGACTTCGAAAAATTTCCGGTGTTCTTTGTTGGTATAATTCATAAGGTGCGAGCGCCGAAAGCTGGAGGATTTGGAATTCGCACCGCGCATTGCATCCGCTATTCACCCCTATTAGTCGCGCGGATGCAGCCGAAAGGCAAGGCAGAACGTTCTTCCCCGGCAGCGCCAGGGGTCTTTCGGTCTCGCGCGAAAGACCATGCCAGTATGTTCCACGCTTGGGAACTCGATGCAATGAAGGGTTAAATGAGTTTTATGCATTTCACTCGCGGAATTGGAGCTCGTCAAGTGCGTCGTCAAAATTTAGGGAACAAAGATAGCTTCATCACTTTTCTGCGTAATCCTTGCTGCCTTGGAGAAAAACAAATTGAATTTCGTATATATTTTCTTGAAGGTACTAACAAATGATACTTCGCTCGAACCTGATGAAATTATTTTTAATTGCAATTTTGGGTTTTTGTAAGCATGAAAGGTATTTCCAAAAAGAAAAATGCTGCAACTACTGAACTTTGTAAAAGGCCAGGTAAATATGCGAAATAACATTGTGAGGCAACAACCGCTTGCTGAATATTTTCTGGACGCGATATATAATTTTAAAATTAAGAAGTCTACAACGAAATGAGGCGAAAGGTCTTATACACGGCTATGGTATTAACCCAATTTGGTCAATATGCTCCCAGTTGCTAAGAAACCTGCATTAGTAAAGTATTTATTTTCTACCCAATCGGGAACGTGAATGGTGTTTCAGAAACCCCCAAATTTCCACGCAGTGAGTCCTCAGCAATTTTATACAAAAAGTATTCCAGTATGTTCCATTCTTGGGAACATGATACAATGAAGGGTTAAATGAGTTTCATACATTTCACTCCCAGAATCGGAGCTCGTCAAGTGCGTCGAAGGCTCGTTATCCACCCTACCTTCGGTAAGAACGTTACGTGAGGTTATCCGCAGCGATTCACAAAAAGCCGTGGGGAGATATTCCTCAACTGTTGAACTTTGCAAAGTTCAACAGATGAGGAACGGAATGATTTAACAGTGAAGTTCGCATCTGGACTTCGGTGATCTGGATTCACCCTTTCATCCCTTTCACAGCAATAATTCCAAAGCATTTAGACGGACGATATATACAATGTTTTATACGGCCGGGTCAAACACGAATGTCCTGCTTGATCTGGTCAGGATCTCATGCAGACGGAGTGTTTGAGTCGCGATTAGGTCATTAGGGGTGATTGGGGCAGAGGGGGATGTCGCAGAATTCCCATTTCTTCTCTGCGCCGTCGACGAAGCACCAGGGTCGTTCCTTGGATGTCGGGTTCCGGCAGAAGTTCTCTTCCGTCGAGGGATCGTTCCGTTGGAAGTGTTCCTCGTAAGTTAAATCTGGGTTGAAGTCATCCAGCTTTCCATATGGTTGGGAATCCCACCGGAGACAGTTCTTTCTGGTTTCAGTCTTTCTCATCGTCCCCACGTATTCCGTCCCCCGTTTCTGTCTGTCGGCAATCCAGATTTCCCTTCGCCAATTTTTCTGTTTGAGATTCAAGCGTGAGATTTCATTCATGGTACGATTTGGGCGAACCAAAAAATTCACAATATTAAAATTGCCGTAAATATTCATTTCATAACAAAACGATTGATCTCTGGGTTTCCATGTTCTGTTTTTGCGAATGAGATTCTTTTCTATTTATTAGTTATCGAAATGCCAAGTCGCGAAACAATTTTACCTTTCGTGAACGCTCACAGAGTATGAAACGGACGAGCAAATCGGTAAAGATCACCTCATACCTTGCGAAGCATGTTTCTTGTCCTCTTCTGTGCAAAAAGGAATTTTGCAAATGCTGATCTTGCTTTGCTTGGTTTTGCACCAAGGTCCTTCATAAGTCATGTCTATGTTCCGACAGTAGTTATGGCGACTATCCAATCCAATATCGGGAAACCACAGCAGGTATTGCAAAGCGGTATTCCTGTTGGGGGTCATGGCCAGCCAGGGTATGCACTTCTCCCCTTCCGCCGTCACGTTGATTGACCCCGCGTACTCAGTCCCATCGTGCGTGATCTTGCATTCCCGGGGCACTGCCGACGGGTGAAATGAAAGCGTGACTTCATGAAAGACTGACTCCATGACAGAATAAATGAGTTTCTTGGGAAAGTCGTGTCCATGAATTTTTGGCATCTATAAAAAAAAATCTCCTCAGGAAGGAAATTTCACTCAAAGATTTTGTAAGGCAGCAGTAAGATAGCAAACAAATAATCAGCTATCAATGCCTTGTAATGCCAGAAAGCTTTAAAATGGTATGTTAAAATTTCACATATTTTCAAAATTTCACGTGCTCACACGAATTTCAAACAAACAATGCGTTTTTTTTCTTAGTAGTGGGGATGGACATGCGGCGAATGAAAGTCCCATTCTGTCAGAATCCAGTTTTCTTCTGTTCAAATGAGGTCCAGAATTTCTACAACTGCTGAATGTTTTTGAAATCGTGTACATGGTTTTGAAGCCAATTCCTAATTCTTCTTTCAAATGCCGTAATCGGGAAGAAAGTAGGGTAAAAGACCCAGAGATGGACCGTTCCCCAGTGATGGGCCGAAAATTTCCACACTTAAGCTTTCATAGCACGCCTACCACTGTTGCGACACAGATTAGCAGCATTGAAGCACATACACACTTCAGAGGTGTTTATGGAACAAATGCCTTGTCTTTGGAATTTTTTCTTTGTCTTTGGACATGGCTAATCATCGAGTACCTATCCTTAACAGGCCCATCACTTGGTGTTTTACCCAACATTAATTATGCAAGAAACCATTCCAGTGGCCTCCAAGCTATGAATTCAGCCACTTCCTCCAGGTCGTCCGTAGGCCGAGGATCGTCTTTCTTTTGACCGAAAATAGGCAGTAGAAATAGAAAGTAGGCCAGGGCCTGACCCGAAGACAATCCGTCGGTTAAGCGAAGGCCTAGCGTAAGCGAGTTACGTAGAGTAGGTGGCGGTAAGATTGAGGTTGAGGAAAGGAAATACCTTTGAAAATTGGTTTTCCCCTTATTACATGTTAAAGATGCTGTTCTTTTATGAGAAAGATTCTGATTACCTCTGGAACCGCGACAGAGTGGGATGTTGCAATACTCCCAGCTCAAATTGGTGGACACAAAGCACCAGGGCCGCTCTTTCAACGCTGGATTTCGGCAAAAGTTTCCATCCTGTATTTCAAGTACATGACGAAAGATCATGGTGAGCTCAGGGGATCCAGTGTGGCGGTCCTCGATGGAGACATGGGAGGAGATGAAATTCAAGTTGATATTGAGTAATTCTGTCCAAAAGAGGCAATTCCTCCCCGTTTCCGTTCGGTTCTCGGAACCCCTGTATTCTTTGCCCATTTCCGTCATTCGGCATTCTGGATACATGCGTGGAGCTCCCTCTCCGTCTGCAATCGATGTTTAGACGCAGTGTGTCACAAAATAGTTAGAGGAAAATTCTGCCTTCATTTGGTCGAAAGGAATACCAAAAACCGAATGTCAAAATCTGAAATAAATATGATCTTATCCAATTTACTGCAAGTTCTCAGTGAGTTTCGCGCGTCTAGCAGAATGCTAGGCACTGGTGGCAATATACGTCTCGTAAATAGGTACCAATTTTTTTAAAAGAAGTTGCATACACAACTTTATAGATGAAACTCATATGGAACAGTTAGAGTAACCTTGAAGTTGTATTTAGCTCTAAACATGTCCAGCTTCGATTTCAATTAATTTTTTTAAGAGTGAACCATGCCTGGGTAACTGAGTTCGGAGGAAAAGCGTATAATAGGGGTGTGGGTGGAAGTCACTGAAACTGATGCGTTTGTACAGAGCAAATACTAAAGTTAGGGTGAGGTGGGGCAAAAGTAACCTGAAAAACACATAATCTTACTTTGCAGGATGATGTAAAAAATACTAGCAAAAGCATTGCCACAAAAATTGATTTCTACCCTCTTCAAACAGTGAACAAGAGATTCTAATGACTTTCAGAACTTAAATCTGAATTGGATCCTTAGGAAATCTCTTTTTAAAAGCGCATTTTCATGTTACTTTTGCCCCATGAAATGGGGTAAAAGTAACATACCATGGGGCAAAAGTAACAATGCTGTACAAGTGCTGTTTGATAGCACTGAGAAGCCAAAGGCGGGACTGTAAATGTACTACACATTATGTAGATGATTTGAGGAAATTTTCAGCAAAAATGAGCTAATAATGAAGCAACAATAGCTTATAATACTGAAGCAGGTGAAAACATTATCTGCTGAATTTTAAGCTTGCAGGAATTCTCTTTCTATGGGAATAAAAAAAAGAAAGTAAAAGTCCTCTCATCCACCTATCTTGTACTAATTTCTTTGTTTTTCCTTTTTTTCTTTCTTCTAAATTATCTTCCTCAAAACTAGTTCAAAACCTGCAATCCTGTTTGCTTATGGTGAACACCAATAAAAGTCATGCCTCTCACAGGAACCTATCAACAAAGAGAAATATTATTTTCACAGATCATAACCTAATGACTTTTATTGAACTTCTGGACGATACTTTGACACAGACAATAACTGAAAAGAAAGCTCTTCATTAGACTCTGTCGAACATTATAAACTTAACAGAAATCCATTGACAATTCTTGTGATTCCTTCGTATCTTTTTTCATTCCATTTCATTTTATTTCAATCTTTCATTCGTTTCACTTCTTAGTTTCTTCTGATTCATTTCTTTTTGGATTTCATGCGCTCAAGCACATCTTCATGAGTGAGAATTTCTCCAAACCTTGAAGGAGCAACCTTCCTCCTCTTTACAGCCGGTGCATCCGTCTTCTGAATTTTCTGAAGTAAGAGGTCCTCAAAGGACATGCATGGCTGAGCCTGCTTTGTTCTTGGAAGCCTATGTGCATTTGCACTGTGCAACTTTGACGTATCACCTCGTTTCTCCAAAGTTGACCTCTCTCCTGCATCCTCTGGGAATGACTGCTGATTTCGTTCCCTTAGTGACGCCTCGAGGTTGAATGTAGAATTGTCAACTGGAGGCACTAAATTATTAGCAATTGCCAAATTTGCAGGATGGAATGCTGACTTCGCAATGGCATTTTGGTTGCAGAGAGATGGGGTCGAATCAAAGATCCCTGTTCCCCGGTAGCCAGCCTTGATATGAGAAGCACCTATCTTCCGCCAAACACTTCCTAGTTGCTTTGCAAACTCAGCTTTTGGCATTCCCCCTGCAAGGCTTATGCGGCCCCATGATACCAACTGGTGATCCCATGCGGTTTTCAGGGGCCCAAAAACCCCTTTATCCAGAGGCTGGAGAATATGAGAAGTATGTGGCGGAAGTTTCACCAGAACAATGTCGGCTTCCATGGCACACAAGATGAGCTCGATTGTCACGTGAGAAACGTGACCATCGTACAAAAGGACTGCCTTTTTTCCTTCTCCAATGATGTTCTTCACATGGGGAACAAACTGATTCTTGAACCATTCCAAAAAGATGTGTGAATTCATCCATCCATTCTCTGACACAGCATAGTTTGTGCCAGGGTATGCATCTGGAGATGTCCATGAATCCCAGAAATTCTTTCCTCTATAAATGATGAGCGGCGGCATCTTTCTTCCAGATGCACTTACACATGCCAAAACCGTTGTTGATTCCCTTCCAGAACCTTGGCTCTGGCGGGTTAGTGAAGTTCCCTTTGTACCCACACCTTTAGTCTTCCTCGGATCATGGAAAAATCCCGTCTCGTCTGCATTCCATACAAAATCCCCTTGAATGGCTGCATCCTCATCATACAAGCCTATCTCTTGATATGCTGCAGCAATGACTCTGAAGAAATCGGCTATGACCACTGGATCAGCTTGCTTGGCTCGACAAGACTGCAGGAGTTCTGGTTTTTTCAGAGTTAGTGTGGAATGCCTGGTCATGAATCCACGGAACCAGTCTTCTCCTAACTTGTCGACTTTCAGCTCGTTGAGCTTGCAGTAATCTGTAGCAAGTGCTATGACCTCTTTTCTTGACAAAGGATAGCCCCACTCCCCCATTTTTCTCAAGACAGATTCCAGGGTGTCCTCCACTTCCTTGGATAAAGCAGGCTTCCGTCCGGGAACTGCAGAGTCAAGTCCGGTTCTTCTAGTGCTCAGGCGCATCTGGATGGTGCTCTCAGGAACACCATAATAATTTGATGCTATTTTTCGGTTCATTTCATGATTCTTAATGGCATTCACAGCACTTACAAGATCTCCATGGGAGTAGCGTTTCCCCGCACCCCTCTCAGTTTTCCTTTTGTAAGTGCGAACCATTATGAAGCCTGGAAGAAGCCCCATGCACATTACTCAGTCAAGCATACATATTTTCTAAAAATAAACTGATGTACCAAAGTTAAGAGCACTTAAAATATTGTATGTGCAATGTTACTTTTGCCCCATGCAACGTTGTTACAATTGCCCCACGACCCAACTTTCCATGGGGTAAAAGTAACATTCAACTAAACAAGTGATGTGATAAGGCCAAAGTCCAAATTTTGAGATCATGAGGTCGAGATGAAGATCAGACAGATAATGTAACAGTTTTAC